AATGATATAATAATTAGAAAATATTTTCTAACATAACGTACGGCAAACGAGAGCTAACATGTTTCGGACTAAACGGGCAAATAAACTTTACACCAATCAAAATCGGGATTCATCTCAGGAAATAACTCATTCTGGTTTTTCGAGCAGCTTCAATTGTTTTTGCGTTACGAATCCACAACTGCACAAAATGAGAATCTTCATATTTCTTAATAGTAGATTTTAAATCTTTAAAAGATAAAAAAATATCTTTGCATGCAAAACTAGTTGACATCTTCAAAGTATAAATGAAATGAAATTTTTTCAATATATAGTTCAAATATTTTTCCAATGATTGGAATTTAAAATATATGATATCGGAATTTGCTTTGGCACGTGATTTTTTTTAACCAATTAACGGGCTTCCGGCACTATAAGCTAATTTCGTTAGAGTGCCGACTTTTGGCACTCTATCCACGGCCTTTAAAATTTACAGTTATTAAAAAAGTGATTAAAAAATTAATTGACTTAAGTTGACTCACTTTGTTTTTTAATTGAGTTGAGTTAGCATTTTTTCAAATTCACTTGCTTTAAATATAAACTAATAAACCAAAGATAAATAATTGCCTAATTTATCAATATCTGAATCAGTGATATCAAACCCGGTGGGAAGCGAGCTAGCGATTAGCAAGCGACTAGGTAGCTTTATATTTTCGAGCGATTTTTTTATCTTATTTAATTTTTTCCTTAAGTCTTTAACATCATTGTAACAAAATTCGATTTTTAGTGTTAATTCTATTATAATTATGAAAATAATTGAACTTTAAACATTGCGATAATTTAAATTATTGCGATATATCGCAGTTTTTTAGGCAGCATTTTTATTACGATATGACACAGCTTCATATCGCATTTGTTTAGCTGGCAACTGATAATGATATATCAATAGCTATTCGGTAGCTACATCGCAGCTTCCTTAGCTATCGATTTAAGTCGATTTATCTCTAGTTACGTATCGTACCTTTGTAGCTAGTTACAAGATAGGCACAAATCGATAGCTAGTTGATAGCTACATATAGGCCAGCGTCTGTGGCATAAAAATCGTTCTAAAAATGGCATAGAAGTAAAATTTTTAACTTTAAACTTTTGTTTTGGATAACAAAACTACTAATTTATTCTACTTAATTTATAAATTAAAAAAAAATTAAACTTTTTTAAAAACTCAAAACTTTTGTAAATAATCATATAAAATGAAACTTGATGTCAAATATTTAACATTTGTTTCATTAGATTATAGCATTTAAAGTTGTTTAACATTATTATTGTTATTCAATGATAAAAAAACAAAACAAATATAATAAATCTGTTTATAGTTTGATGAAGTAGTGTTACACAGAAGCTACAGACAAAGCACCAATTGTGTCTTTAAAATTAAATTTGTAATGCTGTTTTTGAGAGCATTGATTGATGGAGCGTTCACTAACCCTTGGGAAAGCTCATTTCATGGGACAACAACTCTATTTGAAAAAAAGTTATGTGGTTTTTCCCAATTTCGTACAAGCTGGTGTTCTAGTTTTTGATTATGCCCTCTCAAAATATACTTGGTTTTTCTATTTGAAAGTTTTTGCGCGACGAAAAAACTGGCAAGTTCGAGTTGACGCGTGATTCGAGTTGACACACGAACATTGCTTATGGTTAATTTTGTTTATTATTATTCTTTTATTCAAGATAAGATAAATGAAAAATTATCATGAAGTTACATTTAGAAAACAAAAATTAAATTATATTGAATAACAAACAATATCTCACTTGGTATTTTATCTTTTATCTTATTTGCTATTTAAAATACACAAACAAATAAAATCCTTGCGAGTGGGATATGATCTAGACACAACCACACGGTAAACAGAAAAATTGATAACTGAGTAGTTGTATCAGACGCATGCGCATAATAAAATCCCAAGCTTTCATATGAGGTTGTCCATAAATTACGTCACTGACCTCCCACTTCCCCCACTCGTCTCAAAATCGTAGCACTTAAGAAGCAAGTTTTGTATGAGTCATCACAAAATCACCACCACCCCCTCCCCTTTTTAGCGTGACGTAACTTATTAGCTACCCCTAAGTATTAAATCACCGTAGAAAAAAGACACTCTAATGTTTTCAAAAATATAATTTTTAAAACTTTTAAAAAATTTTAAAAAATGCCACGTTTTCCCCCTGCTACCACCCTAAATGTTTTATGTAACATAAATAACATATGTTAAACATTATTGTTAAACTTTGTAAATTTTACATCTTTTTATAATAGTAATAGATCAGGGTAATAACATTAGTACTTGCCTAATAACATCTGAAACTTCATTGATGTCTAATTGGCTAAAAACAGTGCTAGGTTAAGGTGGGGGCTTGTAAGGGGTTCTGTAAATCCAGACCCTGCAGTTTTCTTAAACAAAAGTCTAAAAAGTAGGCCCCCAAATGGTTTAACCGTCACTAATAAAATAAAGCATTGGCAGAAAAAAAATTTAAACGTGTGCCACTTTTTTGATTGCCATTTTTAAAAAATGAGATGGCCAAGTCCCACACGTTTTACCTAATTACAAACTAGGGTTGAGCTTTTACGGTAAAAACGGTAAAAACGGAAAATGCACAAAAAGCATCATTGTAAAAATCACCTTCTTTGGTGGAGTGTAATACCCCCCACCCACCCACCGTAAAATTGCATGTGTGCAATAACATCTGGTTAAAACAATGCATTATTAATTAATTCATCTTCAAATCAGAGATGTAGCTGTACAGATGCTATTACACTTTGATAATTTAAAAAGTGTAACTACAGTTGTAATATTCATTTAATTTTTGCAAAAATAGTATCTGTGCAAATTTGCACAGATACTATTTTTGCAAAAATTAAATGAATATTACAACTGTAGTTACACTTTTTAAATTATCAAAGTGTAATAGCATCTGTACAGCTACATCTCTGATTTGAAAATGAATTAATTAATAATGCATTGTTTTAACCAGATGTTATTGCACACATGCAATTTTACGGTGGGTGGGGGGTATTACACTCCACCAAAGAAGGTGATTTTCAAGTTATAGTTGGTTTTTTCACGAATTTTGTTGGCTGGTTGGGTATTTGACACAATTTAGTTGGTTAAATTTTTGTTTTGAGGACATTTTTGTTTTTTCAAGAAGCCAGTCGGTACTTTTTTTGTGGATCCACCCTCCCCCATTCACTCATTTTATTTGTAAAATTGCCTTTGATTACATATAGCAACTTTTTCAGATGTAACTGCATCTGGAAAATAATATTGATTTATAATGCATTTTTTTTGAACCCAGATTTTCGGCTCTAATAAATACTAGTTAGAATCTAAACAAGCTAATTTTCTACCATATGGGACCAGCTCAGAACCTAAAATACATACTCATCAAAACCTCGTGCCCGTAGGCCCAGGCAAAAACCATACGGTACCCGTATGTCAATGATGGCTGGGAAAGAAATTAGCTAATTAACATTCATAAAAGATAGAAAGGCATGTGCAGTGTCAGCAATGGCTTGTTGCTAAAAAAAAGATATGATAGCTTGTTTGAGCAACAACTATGATAGCATTTGTAGAAATGTGATTGAGTTGCAATATTACGAAAATAGGACAATAGCTCAAAATTGACAGCTAAATCATGTCTAACTACATTTACAATGTGTATTTAGAATTGCTGTTTCTTGTCAAAAACCTTATGATCTGTGCAATAGTTCAGCTAGATCCGCTATTAAGCAGGCGTTTAATAGATTCTCTCCACCCACACACTCTTTTTTAAAAATAAAAATGTTTTTAAATACTAAAATTACCTTTTAACTTTTTTTTCGGAAGATATGGGGAGGAGAGGAAGAGGGCGTCGATTTCTCTAGCCACGGTACTGTTTGGCAAAAAATTATTTAAAACTGGTCTGTTTTTAATGTAAATATATTTTTTTTATAGTTGTCCTTAACATACGTAAGCTCCTGTTTTAATGAAAAGAAACCTAAAAAAATTGGCTAAAAACAGTGCTAGGTTAAGGTGGGGGCTTGTAAGGGGTTCTGTAAATCCAGACCCTGCAGTTTTCTTAAACAAAAGTCTAAAAAGTAGGCCCCCAAATGGTTTAACCGTCACTAATAAAATAAAGCATTGGCAAAAAAAAAATTTAAACGTGTGCCACTTTTTTGATTGCCATTTTAAAAAAATGAGATGGCCAAGTCCCACACGTTTTACCTAATTACAAACTAGGGTTGAGCTTTTACGGTAAAAACGGTAAAAACGGAAAATGCACAAAAAGCATCATTGTACTGTAACTTACACTGTGTTAGACTAATTAAAGTTAAACATTCAATTTAAGATAATATTAGAAGCAGTGAAAAAAAAAAAAGCTGTTAATGTGTAAGTTACAGTTAAAGTTATTTATTATAACCATTTTAATGCTTATCGTGCATTTACCGTTTTTACCGTTTTTACCGTAAAGCTTAATCCTAAGCGTACTCAAAACATCAATATTAAAAGATGGGGATTTATGTCGTTACGATAAATGATAAAAATTACGATTAGCGATAAGCACTGTAAAAGTGCGCGTGACAATTCGCTTTCTACCACAATTTTTTTTTGTTGAAAGCAGGAAGACTCTTCATAGCCTCGTTTATCATATTATTTTGTTGCTTTTACTACATATGTTTACTTAATATTTATAAAATTCCGTATTTGTACTTTTTGACTTTTTATCAAGTGCCAAAGTAACACTTTTTTTTACTGATGATTACTTTTTTTGAAGATGTTTTTTTTGAAGATGTTTTACTGATGTTTCTACTCTTTAAAACTTAATTCAAAAATCCCTAAAACTTTATAATTCCAGAACCTCTGAGAGAAGTATAGCACATTCGATTAAAATTAATTATTATATTTGTTTTTGTGTTAGTATTATATTGTTCATTATATTAAAAAAAATTATTATGAGAAAGATAAAAACTTTGTTTCGTTAATTTTTACTGCAATGATAAAATTTCATAAATTTTGACTTGGTGTTAATAGGTGTTAATATTATTTGTTGTTGCAAAATATGGCACAATTATTGAAAGATTTTGTAGCCAAATATTCAAACGGCTTTCCTAGGGGCTCTACAACTGGACTTTCGGTACTTCTTGGAGTAGGCTTGGTGGGTTTTGGGGTAAAGGAATCTTTGTATACAGTTGATGGTGGTCACAGAGCAATTATTTTTAGCAGAATAGGTGGTATTCAGAATGAGGTTTACGCAGAGGGCTTACATTTCAGGTATTTATAATAAAATAATCTTTCTTTTAAAAAAATTCAATAATCACTATACTAAATACTATGATTTTTAAAATGTATTTAAAATAAAGCAAGATTAAACAAAATTGTTTATTTAATATTGATTTATATAAATATTATTAGTTGAAAATTGTTTCATCCTTTTTTTTTATAGAATTCCATGGCTACAGTATCCTATTATTTATGATGTTCGTTCTCGTCCACGAAAGATTTCTTCTCCTACTGGAAGCAAAGATCTTCAAATGGTCAATATTAGTCTTAGAGTGTTAGCAAGACCAATGGCATCAAGTTTACCACAACTGTACCAAAGACTAGGTTTAGATTTTGATGAAAGAGTACTGCCATCTATTTGCAATGAAGTTCTTAAGAGTGTTGTTGCACAGTTTAATGCTTCTCAATTAATTACAATGCGTCAAGAAGTCAGTTTAATGATTAGAAGGGATCTTGTTGATCGAGCTAAAGAATTCAATATTATACTTGATGATGTATCAATTACTGACCTTAGTTTTAGTGCTCAATACACAGCTGCTGTAGAATCAAAACAAGTTGCACAGCAAGAAGCTCAAAGAGCAACATTTTTAGTTGAACGAGCCATTCAAGAGCGACAACAAAAAATTGTAGCCTCTGAAGGTGAAGCAAAAGCTGCTATGTTATTAGGAGAGGCAATTAAAGAAAACCCTGGATATCTAAAACTAAGGCGCATCAGAGCTGCACAAGAAATATCAAGAGTGATTGCAAGCTCCCAAAACAAAGTTTATTTAAATTCAAACAACTTGCTTCTGAATATTAAAGATACTGATCAAATTGACTTTGGATTAAAATAAACTTTTTTTCTTACTCTCTTTGTAAATATGAGAAAATCTTTGAGAAAGCTTTTAAGCTATATATAGTTGTAGTATTTTTTTGACTTTTTTCAGGAACAAAAAATATAATAGTTTAAACTTTTATGCATTGTAAATTTTTATATTGATGGATCTAATCAATAAGCTATTTATATTTTTTGAACTTTTTGATTTGTCCTTTTGTTTAGTAGTTTTTTATTGAAACTAAAAACTTTAATAAGATGGTTTTCATACTTTTCTTTATATCTATGGTGAATTGCAACAGTTGTCTTTTTTGTTTGGATGACATTCAATCAAATGAAAGTAGAAATTTACTTGAAGAATTTTGTTCTAAAAATGAAACCTTTAATATGGATGGAAGGTGTTGCTTCAAAAATGGAACTATTTTGATTGGGTAAGTGTTATCAAAATTTATTGGAAGTGTTGTTTGTCTAAAATATGTCCGGAAAAGATACTAAAAATGATTATAATAAATTTTTTTTTTTTTGTTTGTTTTTTTTTTTACTTTTTTTTACTTATAAAGATCTTTTTATTACAATGTCAATGTCATTTACCATAAATAACATTATACTAATATAGATAAATTAGCAACAGTTAAGACAATTGAGGGATTCCTGCAAATAAAATTCTGACCCCTACCTTATTGGTTTTTGCTGAATTTAATTTGTTAAGTTTTGAAAAATGCATATTCTCAATATTTCTGTCAATACCTTTATAAATTGTCAATAAATTAAATAAAAAGAAAAAAAAAAACTTATATGACTTGAGCTTCTAATATCAGTGTTTCCTTCAGTAGAATCATTAAGGTGAAAATCTAAATTTCAAAAGATTCAATTTATAGAACGAAATTTCACTGAAAGTTTTAACTTATTTCAATTAATTTTTTTGAAGGTTTTATAAAAAAATTTTTATTTTTCTGTAAACAGGAAACACATGAAATACAATTTTTATAAAAATTAGTCAAACATTATCACTTAAATAAATATTATGCATATTATTATTATAGAATCTATAATAATAATATGCAATATATTTACAAGTAATAGGATCAACATAAACAAATTTGATATTATTAAAATGAACAAAAATATTTAAATAATACTTGAACAATTGATAAAAAAATAAACAAAAAGAATTTAAATCAGGAATAGGTAAGACTATTAACTATTTAAAAAAAAGCAACTTCAATTTTGGAAAAGAGAAGAAGCTGTTAGACTTATTAAATCATGTGTTTTAAAAGAGTATTAAGGGCAGATTTTAACAAATAGTATTTATTTTAAACTTGTTACCATTGCCTACGAAATAGATAAAATAATAACTTGTAGTTGTTTTGCAACCAGGAAATTATATCAGCTACATTAAAATTAAAAAATTAATTATGAAAAGAATTCTTTAGAATATGGATAATTTTAGTTTTAAAAAGTTTTTGTTTTCATTTAGAAATAAGTTCTGATTTTTTATTTAATAAATTTTTTTTATTTAAATGAGTGATTATTCCAAATTTTTATTCCAAATTAGCATACATTTTTTGGAAAATGATAATCAGAAGGAGTTTTTGGAAAATGATAAGCTGGAGGAGTTTTTAGAAGAACCGATTTAATTGAAAGTTAATATTTTTTTTCTTTTAGGTTACAAATAAATTTTGACAGCATAGTTTTTTTAGAGTATCTTTTAAGTTTAAAAGATTGTTTGTGGTTAGCATTACATATTTTTCATAAATCTGTCTAAATTTTCAAGTTAAAGCTAACTTATCTATTAATAATTTCTGTTAAAATTTTTCTGCAATTTATTAGAGGATTTTTTCTTCCACATGTTCTTATTAAAATATAATGAAGTTTTCCTGTAGAGTTTAATTAAACAAATATATCCCATGTAGTTGTTGTGTAGATTTTTGCAAATTCTATTATTTTATCTAGAATTTTTGTTGTAATTGAGGAGTAAAAATCATGTATATTTCGAAGATAACAATCATTAATTATATGAATGTACATTCATTTTTAATGCTGATTTTAGAAAACCAATTTAAAGTGTCAGTTTATTTTTCCACTGATCCAAATTTGATTTTTTTAAATAGTTTCATTCTATATGAAATCATCCAGACCATAACACCCTTAGGTCTCAGAAATTATTCATTTTTACCTCAATTGCAGTGCATATTAAAAAAATAATTACTGCAAAAATTTTAAGTAAAAATACACATTGGTTCCAGAGAAATTGTCAGTTGAAATAATGCTGACTCAGCATTTTAGAGATTATCTGAATTAAAGCAACTTTGATATATAGTATCTTCATAATGGTTGGGGGAAATTTCCTAAAATTTGGTACCCCAATAGATTTTTACTTGAGTAATCTAATGATAGCACCCCCAAGACTCAATTGTCTCAGGAACTGCCTTGTTTATCTAACTATGTTCAAAATTATTGACTTGTATATTCATGATTTTTGAAGGTAAAATGAATACTGTGGCCTAAAATCCAGAGTAAAAAGTATAATTGTATACCATTATTTTATCTTAGGTCTACTGAAAAAAATTAGATTCATCAATTGCCTCTCTAATACTTGATCAAAATTTGCGGTAAAAATTTGTCTTTTTAGAAAAATAACAAAAAGTAACAAAATCAATTAAAATGTTTTTTAAAACATTTATTTAAATAAAACATCAGATAGTGTTATTTATTGACTAGCTTAGGATATTTATAGTCATGGGCCAAGGGAGAGCCAGGTCTCTGACCAACTCTGTCCTGCCCTCCTCCCCCACTTTCCATAATCTTCCTAGACTTTATTTATTTATTTTTATACAGAAAATGAATTAATAATAAATAGTTATTAAAATTCAATTTAAAAACATAATTTTTTTTTAAGTTTAAGAAACAGTTTATTTTCATTATTTCAATTCCAATCGGTGAATGCTTACTCTTATTATATCAAAAACAGAATTGATATAATAATTAAAAAAAAAAAATTGTTATTTATAGAAAAATTTATATTTTCAGTTATTTTTTAAAACTTATAACTAAATTTGTTTCTTAAGTTATATAAAGATTTCCCTAGACTTAGGCAAGAAAATGTTAATGTAATCCCAGGTTGGAAATTCTGCAGTAAATGTTACAAAAAGCAGTAGAAACTGATAAAGATTTAAATTCACAAGAGAAATGGAAATCAATAAGTGAAAAAAAAAAATACCACTATAAGATGGCTTGGAATTTCACCAGTCAAACTAAAAAGTCTCTCTAAACAGGGCAAATTGCCTGTAGCAAAACAAAAGTTTGAGAACACTATTGAGTTGCAAAAATGGTCTCATTAGTAAAAAATATTGGGGGATTTAAATAAATTCCTCTGTGCACTTCATTATGTCAATGATTATATTAGTCCTAAACTAATAAATAATACCATAAAAATATTGGTTGTTAAAAAACATTTAAATATCTTTGGTTTTAAAATTTATAATTTTTAAAATCATGAAAAAATCTCAGTTTTCATGATTTCAAAAATCTACTTTGAAATAAAGGTATTGATTTGAAATAATGAAAATAAATTATTTGTCAAACTAAAAAAAAAATTATTAAAAAAAAAAAAAATCCAGGGAGATTGAGGAAGGTGGGGGGGGCGGAGGTGAAGGCAGAGTTAGTCAGACCCCCTGGCCCTCCCTTGGCCCATGACCAAGGATTATCTTTTTCCGGATATTTCCGGAGTTCCGCATATTTTTCTCAACTTTTAGTTTTTTTCGGATATCAAAAATGTTTGCTATACATACAAGTTTAGGAATATATTTTTGTAATATATTTGCTTTTTAAGCTTTTTCACTCATTACTCATACAAAAATTAAGAAAAGTTGAAAAAAAAAATTTATACAGCTCAGCTAAAATCAAAATTAAGGGGAATATTAGGGAAAATATATTCTGGATATTTTACCCTACTGATTTTCCTGATTTTTAAAATATGAGCTGGATGATCTATGCATAAGCTAGTCAATAAATAACACTATTTGATGTTTTATTCAAATAAATATTTTAAAAAACATTTCAATTGTTTTTGTTGCAAAATTTAAATTTTTCTAAAAAGATAAATTTTTAATTGCAAATTTTGATATAGTATTAGAAAGACAATTAATAAATCAAATTTTATTCAGTAGACTGAAGATAAAATAATGGTATACAATTAAACTTTTTACTCTGGATTTTGGGCCACAGTCTTCATTTTACCTTCAAAAATCATGAATATACAAGTCAATAACTTTGAACAAAGTTAGATAAACAAGGCAGTTTCTGAGACAATTGAATCTTGGGGGTGCTATCTTTAGATTCCTCAAGTAAAAATCTATTAGGGTACCAAATTTTAGGAAATTTCCCCCAGCCATTATGAAGATACTATATTTCAAAGTAGATACTATATATCAAAGTAGATGCTATGTATCAAAGTTGCTTTGTATATTATAAAGCCATTATGAAGAAACTATATGTCAAAGTTGCTTTACTTCAGATTATCTCTAAAATGCTGAGTCAGCATTATTTCAACTGACGATATCTCTGGAACCAATGTGTATTTTTACTTAAAATTTTTGCAGTTATTATTTTTTTAATATGGACTGCAATTGAGATAAAAATGAACCAATTCTGAGACGTAAGGATGTTGAAAATGTTTTTTTTTTTTTTTTTTTTTTATGATTTCATATGCAGGCTTGGTCAAGAAATGGGTGCGATTGTAAAAATTTTTTAGGCATTTTGAGAACATTTAAGTTTATATATATTTCCTTGTTTGTCCGCAAAATAATAATTAAGTTCATTTTTTTATCGTAAATTTTAAAATATTTTATTTTACCGACGCTCATGGAAACATACATAAACTTGAATGTTGTCGAACATCTTAGTGCGGGAAAATAAATAAAGAGTATTCGCGAACACAAAAATACTCGCCAAATCTACGAACAAATAATTCTATTGGTTCAAAAAATACTAACCGATATTTCTAGAGAATTCAAAAATTACTAAGGGAATGTTCTAGAGTATTCTGTTGAAATATTTTTAAAAATTGTATTATTTGAGTTTTCTTGTTTTCATTGAGATTTCTAGCATAAATTGTTTTAAAAATATACTATCAAACAAACTATTATTTTAATACAATGGCTCATTCTCGGAGCCACATCTACAAAGCTATAAATGTTTTAAACTAACATTATTTGTTTACAAAATTAAATGTTCTAAATGTATATTTTTTAACTTGTCAACGTTTTTAATCTAATTTTTTAAGTATAAGGGATGTATTTTTTATGTATGTAACATATTTTTATGTATGTAATGTATTTTTATGTATGTGTATTTTATTTAAATGTAATCTTTCAAAGCAATTCGTGTTATTGATTTTGTAAACAAAAACACTTTCAATAATAACTGCGTT